ATTTTTCGAAGGTTGTACTGTAAAAGAACTGGCTTACCCTTTTATTTTCAACCTTGATTGCTTTAATTATTGTGTTGTGAAAATAAATCCTCGTAAGTATTTGTTTATGCTACTGATATCTGTTCGTTATTGTTAGTTTGTGAAGGATTTTGTATTTCACTCGTTAAATATTTTTCCGTGTAATGTGTATAAGTATAGTTAAAAAATTGAAGACGTTGACAACGTAGTGGTAAGAGCTCATCAATTCCTGTAAACCCAACAACAGAGGGGTTATTTTTTGCGTGTTGATAACCCTGTAAACTTTCCACGAGTTAAGTCGATTCTACTTGGTATATAACATTACGCAAATAGCGTTGTAAGATTGCATTTTCTGTACTTCCCCGCTTGGACGGTTCGACATTTAAACATAAATTTTAATTTTGCAATACTACAGTATTTGAAGCCGTCCGAGTGAGTCCCAGATAAACCGTAATTAGATGGACAAATAATTAAAAACAATGCAAGAAATTGTATTGTATTGTGCAAAGAATTCTTAATCACTTTTATAATTCTAAAACTATGAAATTGTTAAACGTGCCAAAGACGAGATCTAGAGAAAAGGAGTCTCTACCCAAAAAAAAAAACCGTGTGGTGATGTATTAAGAATACGGAGTGTGACCATTCATTCCGTGAGTGTCTAAAGAGTCGACTAAGAGAGAAAACTGCACAAGAAACAGCACTTCAAAGAAAACGTGAACTGGAAAAAAAACCTACCTACCTGTTTGGCCAGTCTGGTAGATAAGGTCAAAACCATCTTTTCTCAGGAGAGGGCTTTGTCCAGCAGTGGACTACTAAAGGCTGTTGATGATGATGATGATGACAAATTGTCAAATCGAAGCGTATTTTTTTCGTAATTAGAGATCGTACGTCCAAATATAAAGATATGATGTCTTAGGAAATATGTCCATTACTTATTATTTGACTTATTTGCTAAGACCGTTACATAAATGTTTGCGCAAAGACAGACTGACGATAATGAAGACAGACATAATCCGAGACATTGCATATCAGAACGGTTGTTGTGCAGTGTTATTTCATTTTGCGTTATTCTCTTATCAGTCAAAATAATTCCACGATTCATACACAAATGTGATTGTCTCACGGAAGTCGCACCGAGTTTTTCATTTTAAGAAAACGCTTGGGTTTATATACAGCCGGATCATAATGGAAGTATATTCGTACGTAACACCAGCAAAAATATATATAAAGATCATTGTTTCATATAGAAAAATTCGGTTCGGAAATGAAACAAATGTTAAAAGCTTATTTATTTATATATGAAACTAAGTGATTTAGTGAAAAGGGACGTAATCGTCTAACAAGCCAGTGCTAATTTCTAACGCGTTTAAACCCAAATTGTACGGTCATTTTGGGTAACTTTGAATTGCGGTTTATCTTTGAACAAAGTTATGAAATAGATTTATTAATTTATTAAAAGGAGACTTTCTTGTTGCAATATCGCAACTGCGTTAAACGAATCGCAAGTGTCTTTTTTTAATAAATAAAAAACTGTCCAATACATAATTTTGCAAATCACCCGCCTGTTACGTAGTGGAGTCATTAGAAGTGTTTATTGCTTATATGCATGTCATTCAAGTTTACCCAAAAATATTGATTAAATATTCGAATAACATCGGTTTTTACATCCTTAAAAAAATTAGGTTCAAAGTTACCCAAAACTCATGATAACCTGGGATTTGACTTTTTAGAAATTTCTGGGTTGTTCTGTTGTTTTTTCCTTTTTATTGTGTTGGAAAAATAAACCAACTCAAAAGAACACTATTTATTCTCCTATATTTATTACACTATTTATTATAATATAATAAATATAAATCAGAATGTAATATCACAAATACTGTAAAAAAATCGAAGTTTATTACCATCCATCTTAATCCATGGTAATTTAACTAATAAAAACGTAAAAACGGTGCTAGAGTTGGCCGTCAGGTGGTAGGACCAATGTTACACATCATTTGATGTAAGTACTGTGAGTGTTATTGTTTTCCCCGCGGATCGGTAAAATGTGCCAATAGATCAGATAAACGGTTACGTAAAACGATCGTAAAATGAGACTAAGCCTCGTGTAATATATTATGGTTAATCCCTTGGGTGGATATCCTTAAAATTGACACATAAAGGTGCCGAATAACACCTGATGCTGAGTGGAATACTGATGCTTATATCGGGGTAATTTTCATCTACATAACTAACTACCTTAAACCATTATCATCTGCCGTTAATTTGCGAGTAAAATACTGCTTGGCTTTTGTTTTAATCCCCAGTGGAACTGATACTAAAGTAACGGGAAATTTAATTCGTTTGAAAATTTTCTTTGAAGATATTATTTTTAAGATTGAGTAACCAATAATCCTATGATGTTTTTATTTGAAGATAAAGATTATTTAATAGTACATAATCACAAATATAATGTACATAATCAGATAACGCACTTTTTAGCATCCGTTGCCTACTTATCTATACTAATATTGTGTGAGTATAATAGTTTTTTTTTATCTTTTATAAAAGTACTAATTTCTGGAAATACAAATACTGGTTTGAAAAATATTTAATGTAATAGATAGTTTCATTGAAGAAGGAAATAGGCTTTGTTAACATTACGCTACGAGCCCAGGGAGTGGAACAGAGACCTTTGAAGCCGGTGAAAAAGCAGCGAACCAATATATTTATTATACAGGCGGTCATTTATCAAAAATAGCGATTGTTAGCCTTACGGTAGTCGCGTATGATGTGTAACATCTGACATTTCATCTACCATCTGACGGCCAACTCAAATAGCGGTGGCTTCCCTGACTTCCTGTTACATATTTTAGTCCCTGTTCACGAAATCACTACCACATATTGCAGAAGAGCGAGTAGAAAGATGTAACACATGAAAAGTTATTTGACTTTAAAATAAAAGCGTAAACAGCTGTTTTCATATTGATATAGTATCGTTCAAATAAACTAACCACGCGTGACAGCTGACAGCGCGTGAGCAATGCGTGTTTCGTAATTGTTCAATACTGTTGATTAGTTCGTAAGTAGAAACTAGAAGTTTCTACACTTACTTATACTTTGTTTTAAACGTTTTAAAAAAATGAGTTTATTCTCAATTGTTTATTTCTCTTTTACCTTAGAACACTTGCATTCATAAACCGATTTCCTATTCTTTTTTATTATAAAGAGCATACTTTCCTTTAAATTTGATGACAAAATATCATATCGAAGGGTTACAAATTAAGAAATGAAGAATAAAGTTTATTGCAATTTATCATGATGTTGGCACACTGAAGTCGGTGATGCTTTTTTAATAGTTAGTCGAGAACTCGCTCTCTAACTAAAAATCTTATTAGTATTGTTCTCCGGTTTCCCGCATTTAGACTCAGGAACTGCCCTTTATACGTCGTGGTAAGGTTGCCTAGGTTAGCCAATCCAGAAGCACAGAAACCTCCTAGGGCTCTCACAGGCTTCGTATTAGGTATGATATTTGCGTATTACGTGTTGTGTGCTTTGAGACATTCTCTGTAAAGTGGACTGTTTGTCGCATTGATGGTGAATAGTTGTCGATTCAAGGCCACGTCATCGTTCCCACAACTATATCTATCTAATACCTATTAATGTTATGGTAATGGTACTTTTAAATGTTTGTAACTTTTATTAATAGAATTTTCATTCTCTTATGGATTTATCGACATTAATTTCTCTTTGTGGATGGTTCTCGATCTTACTCAACCACAAGAAAACAATTTTCTAATTCGCTTGCTTCTGCATCGCATTTAAATAGGAAATCCCGTAACGAAACGTGGTGTGCCCCACCCGCAGTCTTAAAATGACACAATCCGGGTTAAAACGTAGTAGATACCTATGTAGTAAAAACTTTTTTATTATGCCCGTTTAAAACCAAATGTTTTATATCTTTTCCTTAAAACTTAATGAGTTATTTAACTTAGTCACAGTCTGAAGACTGCTAGGGGAAAAAAAATCACGAATCGGTTTTGCTGTTTTCGATTTCTTTCATTATCATCAGCCTATTGCCGTCCACTGCTGAATGAAGGCCCTAAGGATCGCCAAAATTTTTATTAATTAAGTAAACATAATAATTTATTAATTTTATCCTTTAAGAGTGTGAACTCAATGAATTCCAACAAAAACGTCTTAAGGCATTCTGGAAAGTTCGAATTTTATGTCGCCCAAATTGAATGAGCTTAAGTAACTCGTTACAACTGTCGTTTACGGCCTCTTTATTTTCAATATAACCAATAAGTTTGACGTTTCTGTGGCTAATGTCGGTGACTTGTTTACACTCCTTAACCTTAACAAACCGAGATACTTTTCCTGCAATTACTTTCATGAAACAGGCAATTTTTTAAAGAGTACTAGTAACGTCGGTGACACAGTATTGTCTTCGTTACATCCTCACAATGTTGAACGGAAAAATAATCAATTTTTCTCAAACTTTAGGTCGTACGAATACCTAATTAATACACTTTTTCCTGTTATTCGCTAACAAAGGTCCAAAACAACTCTGTTTTTGTACAATTTAATGAAGTAGATGTTTTATTTTTCTTTAACTTGAAAAACCCGTCACAGATTATTTGAAGTAAGTACCTACATATGACATTGATAGCTTGTTACAATAATACAACAGTTGTTAATTGGTTTCTAGAGACTGTTACGTTGGATCCAGCGCAAAACTACGACTTGCATATATCTTAGCTGTCTTCCAAATGATTTTAAATGTTTTATATTGACTCGATTGACTTTCTAAAGTTGACAAGTGGCTCCTGCAGATGTAAACGTACCCTTGCTAGACCAGCGACTGTATTTATCGCAAAAATAAAATAGCGAGAGCTATTAGAAGTAATAATAGGCGAAACAAGACGTCGTATTGTTTAGACAAGTCTAGAAAATGTAATAATTTTTAAATGGGGCAAAGGAAAAAGGTAAATAAGAGTAAGAAAATGGATAGAGCGAGAAAAGTAGGGCAAGGGGTCTACGATTCAGAACAGGAAACGGTACTATGTCTGCAATAGCTTGAACAGAGATCGTCAAATAAAGTTTAAAATGTTATCTTTACGAACAGATCAATTTTTTTACTTTATTGCATAACCGTTTTAAGTTGGTTTTTATTTAAGTCTTTATAAAGTGAACCTTCGGTACGCATGTAGTATTATTATTTCTGTTGCCAGTTAGTATTTCCAAGTTTATTAAGGATATATTTTATAAAACTCCTACTGTATATAAAAGTTTTAAGTGGTCAGTAAAATATATATGTAATGAGGTTAATATATATAAGGTTTTACCATGTTCTGTGTATCAAAATCAACACTAAATATTAAGTACAGTTTAAAGTACTTTTATATGTATTTTATATACTTGACGATAATAAAGTTTTGAATTACGTCTACCTTAGCAACACATATTGTTTCACATAGGTAATTAATTTGTACCATTATACAGTTGTAAACTGTAAAATTAAAACATTACCATTATACCAATTGTCATCCTGTTTCTTAATTGAAAGTATCGTCATCACCATCATCATCAAAAAAAGCCTTTAATAGTTCACTGCTGGTCCTCTCCTTAGAAAGAAGGTTTCAGCTTACTATACCACGCTGCCGCTGGTCAGACCAGAGGCCAGGCCAGAGGTTGGTATTTCTCTTTGCAGTGCTAATGTCCTGCGTAGTTTGCTCTCTTAGTCTCCTCTTACGACACCCACGGGATGAATAGGTATGAATGATTGAAAAGTATACTTGCAGATATTAGAAGTATATAGTAAGGTAAGAATCACCTTCTCATTCAGGAGTCAAATAGATAAATAGTAGGCTAAGAGCAATATATCCAGAACGGGCCAAATTGACACTAGTACAACCAAGAGACTGAGCGAAGAGTAGGCTCTTAGTTGAAATAGGAGACTTATTTGTATATAGTGAAAATACATTTCGTGGAAAAGAAAAAAATCCATAATATTTATTTTCCTTTGTTGCAGCATTCCAGCGGGGAGGGAGGCGGGGGGAGGCGCGGGTTGACAGATGTGAGCGCAGGCGCCGGCGAAATGTGGATCAGCGCCGTGGAGAGCTCCATACTCACCTGGGAGGAGGTAAGTCGTCTAATCTTTTACTTTTGCCCCCTCTTTCATAAAAAACCTAGGTGGACCTTCGTATTAATTTTAATCAGGTTTTTTCTATATTTCATTGATAAATAATAGATATCTATATAAAAAAACCTTTTTGTCTCGCACACAATATACAAAATTAGGCCTTATTTTTAACGCAGTATTATGTTCTTGGTGTTTGTGTGACACTGCGAAACGGCTCGACCGATTTAAATATTTTTTTTTTGTCTATTTGGTAGGTATCAGAATAGGTGGTATAGTATTTTTCAACTGCCATTTTTTTTACGTGTGGAAAACCCCTCGGGCCGTCACCCCACCGGGGTTTGCGGCGGGTTGGTGTGTCGGAATGGGGCCAATTTGCGCCTGTAATAGGAGGGATTCGGGAACTGCTGTTAGTAAGACATCCGGACCCCTTCTAGCGCCTGCCCGCAACGACGCGGGCACCACCTTTGGGTACATTCTCTATTTCCCCCAACCTAATTTTTTTATAAATTATATGGCAGAACAACGTTTGCCGGGCCAGCTGGTTTAATCATAAAACACAAAGGAAAAAATAAAAAACAGCAATAAAACACCAATACTAAAAATATTAACTAACTTGAGTATCCATTAAAAAATATGTGTCTGTTGGGTTATTACACGATTAATTAACATAATTGAGAAGATAACGCAATGCCAACATACTTAAGATTTTTCTTTTTTTGAAACGTTTGGAAGCCCCTTCGTACTCTCGACAGCGAGCGTTGTGATAGGTGGAGATATAAGTGCGGGCCAATCGCAGCGCCGAACGCAACCACCGTGACGATGAAGTAGATGTGTAATAAACTCGCACTTGGACTTCAGAGGGCCTAGTGTAAGTTTCATTGAGTTGAGTGTGCTAGAGCGAGAGAATTGCTTAACACCGGTTTTCTACGGTGTTAACCGATTCTTACGTTGATTTTCACCGAGTGAGTGAGGTTAAACGAGCTGTGGAGGAACGAGTGTCGTAACCCTCCAACACAAAAGGAGGATCCTCCGTCCTGGTGAGGTGGTTATGCCTGGCGGGCCGCGGCCCATCGGTTGATGTTGGGAAGTTGCAACTATGCTAATCGGCGAGAGAATTCTTCATATCGCGATACAGGATCTCATTCAGGAGTTACTCCGTATTTCCGTGTGTCGTAAACGTCGCTGTAGTATGTTTCTGTTTCTTTGTATGTGATACTCGCCACAGAGCCTACCTCCTCCCCATTCTATGTCGTGGAGACAGTTAAAAGGGAAACGCACTTGTGACTATTGAGATGAAGGTTTTTTATTTTTATCCTTTTTTTAAAAGACAACTCCCGCTTTAGTAATATATCCCGTGTCGCGGGGGATTTTACAAACACATATGAAACGGACACAAAGAACACCCAGACTTAGAACAACAATTTGTTTATCACATAAGTGTAGTCCCATGTGGGGATCGGACCCAACGCTCAGCGTAGTAGTGAGCGGCGTGTCGACCGTAAACTACTACGCCATCCGTGCTGTGTTTGCTCCCTATACTATAAAAACCATTTATTAGTCTAGTTGTTGGTCTAGTGGTGTGTTGTAGTGACCCTGACTGCTGAGCCGGAGGTGGTGGGTTCGATTCCCACACAGAACAAATATTGTGTGATGAGCATAATCATGTGTTCTGTGTCTGGGTGTAATTTATATAAAATATGTATGTATTTAGAAATATATAAGTATGTTCATCAGCAGTCTGCTTACCTCTGCCTAGTTTTGGATCAGATGGCCGTGTGTGAGATATAATATTATTATGTAATTTGTTCACAATGCAATGTTGTGAGTTTTTAGGAAATCTTCCTTTCTTTATTTAAATATTTTTGAGTTTTGTTAATTAATGGAAATATAAGCACAAGAAAACAACTTAGAAATATTTAACCTTGGCACAGTAACAAACACAGTAGCCAATTAATTAATTTCAGAAATATAATTGCGAATTCGTTCTCTAGTTGTTTTAAAAATGTAATAAATTAAAATATTTTGTATTCTCATGACAAAAAACATCTATTGTGATGTTTGATTATTACCCAATTAATTCATCCTGTTTTAAAGGATAATGGAATTTAATTATTATATTATTAATGCATTCAACACCTTTATTATCGCAGAATACGTGTTACTTAATATGGTTATTTTATACATATTATCTGAATTCTGTGTGGTGGCGTATTAAGAATACACCACTGGTCATTCCGTGAGTGTCGTAAGAGCCGACTAAGGAAGAAAATTACACAGGACAACAGCACCGCAAAGAAAAGGAAAACTGGAAACAAACCCTATACAAACCCGTCTGGCCAGCGTGACATAGTAGGCCAAAACTTCTTTCTTAAGGCCAGCAGTGGACAAGTAAATGCTGTTGATGATCTGAATAGTTTGCTATATATTAAAAAAAGTGTTTTCTTTAATTAATTATTTTTTTGCCGTGTGTTTATCTATTTATTAATTAATTAATCAGCAAAATTTCTATCGTATTTCCCTTTAGGGTTCGTTTATTCTTTCTATCTAATATTATAAATTTATAACCCTTGATTGGTCTCGTCCCATGAGTTGGTTGGTATTGGCGATTTTGTTTTGTCTGCGATCGTAAACGCGAAACATTATACTCATTGGTCTCCTGCTGTGCTCAGACTGCAAGTGGATTTATGGTGTTTTAATTTCTCCTAGATACGTTTCGAGGTGCAATTCATATTTACTGTTCTAGAGACTCGCCGAGTGTCGTACCAGAGTACCAGAGTATTTTTTCCAATTTTGAGGGTCGCATTAGTAATATTTGAACATTGAAATATTCGCCTACTATTGCATAGTCTATCTAAATGTATAATTGGAAAATAAAACTGCTATTCGTTAGTGTCACTAAAACAAAAACGGATAGACCGAATTGGATATTTTTGGTCTTGAAATATTTGTGAAATGCCAGGGAAAGTTTAAACGCTGAGAAAATATGGAAAAAAAAACAATGACAACATTTTTATTTCCCGTACAAATTGTTCCTACCTGTCAAACATTCAATGTTGGTCCTATTCGGTACACGGTACACTCAGCCTCCCACAAATTAAAGAACACATTACATAAAGGTTTTACATCTCCAATATATATTTAGATAACAAAAAAAATGCTTAATTGTATCACTATTGCAAAAAGATCGACATATTTATTGGTTGTCAAATATTTATATTAAATATCATCAAGTCATTAAAAGCGTAATTGAAATATGTAATGGAAGTAATGAGTTCAGATAACTTATTAGGCATAATAAAAACAATTATTCGATATATCCGATAAGGCAAGGTGCACGACACTTTAAGGTTCTCTTTGCTCTGCTTGTTAATCTTATCAAACTATGACGAATAAAATAATACTGTGGTCGGTGCTTGGTAAACAAACGGTGTCTTTCGGCTTTTTGCTAATCCTAATCCCTTCTCTCTATTCAAGAACATTGAACTTCCCCGACCTTGTGACCACCTCCTCTTGAAGCTACTGCAGTCTCGCCTTTTTTTGGTGATGGTTGGTATGTTAATATAAAACCGTTGTGGTGTTTGCATTAAAATCCATCCTGACAGCCAATCCCACAGGATCAGGGACCAGGCTCAGAGTTGTATGGGGAGGTCTCTAACCTCGGTCTCCGCGCCGTTTTCCTTACTTCTTTCGCTGTATACATGATTCCTTCTTCCCGCCTGAGAATGATTATAATTCCAAGAAGGATTTGCGTCACGCGTTCGACCAGAAAAGAAATCAGCCAGATGCCTTTCCAATGTTATACATTGCGCCGAATTACGAGTAAAATAGCACTTTGCAAATATTGTTACATACAATATTTGCAACGTGCTATTTTAAGTCGATTTGCGATCTTCAATAATGTTTAGCACGCGTTGAGATAACATATTAAGGGAATGATGAATTAAGAGAAAATGTATGGAAAGATGCCTCAAGTAGCAGAGTCATAAAATTTACACCAGGGACTTCCTTTCTAGGGTATACCTGGTTCCCCGGCTATTAGTACCCGAGACGGCGTGCGGTTTTAGTCGGTTCTAGTCGGACATGCCACCGATAGGTGGTATCCGAGGGGATTGCCGCACGGAAAAAAAAAGGTCATAAAATGTATATCCATAAAAGAAGAAACTGAGAGACTGATCGATCAACGCACAGCGAGAAACTGCTGGATATAGAAGCATCAAATTTTGCATAAATGTTCCTTGACGTAGGTGTGCACTTCAAAATTGAGTTGGAAATTTATATGAACCTTCGTTATTTATGGTTTCAGCGTTTTCAAATTCACAGTAAATATTCTTTATTAAAAATATTAAAAAACGATACTAATTTTTCACAGCTACCCTTAAAAAGTTGTGCAAGTTTGTATGGGGTACTATTTCTTTTAACTAATCAATTCTAAACTCTCCGTATAATATTCTCTATCAATAATAATCATAATTAGACACCTAGTTTTAAACTTTTCAAAACTACCCCTATGAGTGATTAAATAGGGTACGGAATTTGTAGAAGCCTATTATAGTAGAGAAATTCTAAATATTTGAAATATGAAGCTGGGGCGGGTCGCTAGTGTATTAATAAATTCGTATTAAGTGGGTTTCGTTGTACTTTCACTGTAACAAGACACCTACACTGCCACCAGGCTACAAAGTAAATAAAACCTCAACGATTTTATCTTAAGATCTTCGGTTATTTTACTTCCCCGGAGTTTGAGGAATGTGATTATTATATTGTTTTGTAGATCAAAATATCTTCTGAAAGTACTCATAAAATGTGAGATGTGTAGGATAATATAATAGTATATAGTAGTATAATAGTAGAAGGCTTGCGTGTACATAGATAGCATATTGTCATAAACACAAGGAATATTTGACTGCACCGATGGCGTAGTGGTTTAAGCGGTCGCCACGCCGCAAACCACTACGCCGAGTGTTGTGAGTCCAATCCCCGCATAGGACGACAGTTTGTGT